GGAGGACCTGTATTTCCCAAGGCTCAGTTCTCAGCTGTTTTCTTGCTGCATTCTTTAGGCAATTTCATCTTTCCCTGGCTCCCAAATTTATTTCTCCAGCCCAAATCTCTCCTCTGTGTTTCAGACACAACTACTTACTTGACATTTCCACTTGGATGACTCACAGGCATCTCCCATTTAACTCATTCTTGATTTTGGTCCACCCAGAGTTACTCCTCTCTCTACCCTCCCGTTTCCATTAATGGCACCTCTATGCACACAATCCTGGGGATTGGTCTGCATTCCTCCCTCTACCTCATTTCCCTATAACAGCCCATCATTCAATCCTGATGACTCTAACTCCAAAATACATCTCAGGTCCACACACTCTGAAAACTTTGATCCCAAACACAAACTTTCCTCACTTGGGTCATTCTAATAGCCCTTGAGTGGTTTCCAAGCTTCCACCTTTGCTTCCTTCAATTCACTTTCTGCTTAAGTATCCAGAGTGATCATTTTGAGACCAAGTCATATCTGTTTACTTCTCTAATTTGGAATCTTTTGACTGGTTCCAAATGCACCTGGCATGAAAGTGGACGTTTTGGCCCTAGTGACCTCTAGGTTATTTCCCACCATGGAGACCTTGCACATACTAGCCACTGTGTGGAGCACTCTTCAACATCTGCTTGTCCCTTAGGCCTCAGCCTGCCTTAATGTATGTCTCTTGTTCAGAGAAAGCTTTCACAATCATTTTTATTTCCTGAACATCTCTCTCCCAAGATAGTATTATCACATCTGTTTTTTCTCTTCATAGTATTCTTACCATCTGCAATAATAGATTTGACTACTTGCTTATTGCTTGGCTACTTCACTAGGCTATGAGCACTACATGGGTAGAGTATACCCTTGCATAGCCTGGCACATGATACATGTACAATAGACTTTCATTGACTGACTGACTGAATGAATGAATGAATGAAATGAATGAATGAATAAATGAAAAGCATATGGAAGCACCCTTTTGAACTCAGAACTTTCATTGACTGACTGACTGACTGAATGAATGAATGAATGAATGAATGAATGAAAAGCATATGGAAGCACCCTTTTGAACTCAGGTTTTGTCCTCACTGGAAGTGCAGGCCTTCTATGTCTTGAGCTCTTTGAGGACTTGACAAGGTAGAGCCTCCTTCAGTCCCCTCTGCTCTGAGCCAAACAGCCCAATTCCTTCTCAAGTTACTGCCTGATGTTCTAGACACCCTGAAGCTTACTGAAGCTTCTCAGCATCAGTCTCTCCTTGCTCAGCTACCAGTCCCTTACTCACTCACTTGTCCTTTAAAACTGCTAACATGGCTTAGCTTCAACCTCCCCTTCCACTTTGGGATCAAAGAATTGATGCTCTAAGGTTCTCTGCTACATGACCATAAATTCTTCTTATCTCCTGGGAGTAAAAGTCAGGAATTCATCTCTCTCACTTTTACAGTTAAGGACTCACAGAGATCCTTTGACAGCTCAATGAGATACTTACTTCCATGTCATTCATAGAATGGCATTCATTTTCTAAAATACCCTGCAGAAAAGAAATTATATTTCCTCTGAAGGGCAGGCACCACATCTGTCTTATCAACCACCATATCCCCAGTGTTTAGCACTGGGCTTGGCACATAGCAGATACTCAATAAATACCTGATGAAGAAGAAAGAGACAGAGGGAAGAAGGAAGAAGAAAAATAATAATCAGAATATCTAAGTTTCCCATAGGGTGGTAAGAAAGAAAGAGGGTAACCACTTTATACCCATTAGGATAGATATTATTTTTTTAAAAAAGAAGAAGAAAAAAATGTTTGTGAGGATGTGGAGAAATTGGAATCCTTGTGCATTGCCGATAGAAATACAAAATAGTGCAGCTGCTGTGGAATGCAGTATGGCAGTTCCCAAAAAGTTAATCATAGAATTATCTCATAATTCCACTTCTGAGTATATATCTAAAAGAATTAAAAACAGGGACTTTGATATTTGTACACATATTCATAGCAGCATTATTCACAATAGCCAAAAGGGAAAAAATGTCCATCGATGGATAGATAAACATAATGCTGTATGTAATACAATGAAATATTATTCAGTCTTAAAAAGGAATGAAATTCTGTGGTAATCATTTCACAATATATATAAGTCAAACCATTATGCCATACATCTTAAACTTATATATTGCTTTATATCAATTAAATCTCAAAAATATTGGGGAGGGGGAAGAAATCTTGCCCCACGAATAGTTCTTAAACACTTGATACAAAATGTATTTTTAGCAAAAAAAAAAAGGCGGTGGGGTGGAGAGTGAAATACTAACATATGCTACAATGTGGATGAACCTTTAGCACATTATACTAAGTGAAATAAACCAGATACAAAAGGACAAATATTGCATGACTTCACTTATATAAGGTGCCTAGAATAGTCGAATTCATAGAGACACAAAGTAGAATAGTAGTTGCGAGGGCTTGGGATGGGAGTTAGGGAGGGATGAGAGTTATTGTTTGATGGGTTCAGAGCTTCAATTTCAGATGATGAAAAAGTTCTGGAGATGGATAGTGGTGATGGTTGCCCAACAATGTGAATGTACTGAACTATAAACTTAAAAATGATTAAAATGATAAATTTTATGGTAAGTATATTTTACCATAAAATTAAAGAAAGGAAAGGAAGGAAGGAAGAAAGAAAGAGAGAAAGAAAAGGAAAAAGAAAAGAAAAGAAAAGAAAAGAAAAGAAAAGAAAAGAAAAGGAAAGAAAAGAAAAGAAAGGAAGAAAGAAAGAAAGAAAAGAAAAGAAGGGAGGGAGAGAGAGGTTGAGAGTCTGGCACCCACACTTTCCAAAACCTTCCGGGAAGAGACAAAGTTGTTATCTCTCACTTGTCTCATATATGGTAAGGACCGAATAAATGTCCATTGATTAAATTCTGTTTTTTTCCCCTTACAGTTGAACTCCATTTTTATAATTTTTAAATTTAGGTATAGTCTATTTCTTTGTCTATATATCCAAAAAGATTCTTAAAATAACCAAACATAAACACTAATCAGTAGAGCTGATGTGATACAATCAAAGCAAGAATGAAAAGAATATAAACCTTAAGTATAATTATGCATCTTTACCACTTATCCTTAAAGTTATATTAATCATTGCCCAAGAAACTCTGATTTTCTCCTGGGACTAGAGGAGAAACAATTCTTGCCATTCATTCTTGGACCTTATGCTTTCGACTCATAGCTCCAAGCTTTCAGCAGCTTTATCAGGTGTCCCTGCATTTAGGCTCAAGCCCTTTTTCATATAAGCCTTTTCTCTCAAGAGATTACATACTTTGGTCATTGACCCACCACTCTCTCTGTCACCCAGAAAGGAAGAGCTGCCATTTATCAACTGGTTGCCAAGAATATGATTCCAGACACAACATGAGCAACAGCAGCATAAATGCCTGTGGAAGTCTTTTGCAAATAGATGAGATTAAGTAATCTTTCTTCTGGTTGGGGAGGTTTCTGTCTACACAGAGATAATTAAGTATGGATATTCAGAGATGAATTAAAGGACACGACTTCCTTAGCAACCATCAGATACACACTTGTTTGTAACTCTAAACTACTAACAACTTCCTTTTTTCATTTTCTTTTTTTCCCTAATTGTCCACAATTGTCTTTCTTGCTATGGGCCAAACTTCCTAAAATATATATTTGAAAAATACATTAAATAAGTTAGAGTATATCTTTGCCAGGGAAAAATGTGCAATGGCAAGAAAGAATGAGAAAGTTCTTTTTGTATTGATATGGAACAATCGTTGTCAATCTGCTGTGTGAAGAAAACAAGCACAAAACAGATCACGTATCTGATACCTGAGCATAAACTCAGAACAACCCTACAAGGATACCCTAGAAACTGGTGCCATTGGTTGGGAGGGAAAGTACCAGAGGCCAGGGATGGAAGAAAGACTTTTCACCTTATACAGCTTGTAAATTCCATGTCATGTAAAAGTATTACTTATTCAGAATAAACAAGCAAACAAACTCATTAAGATAAATTATAACAAAGAAATTGCAAGAAACCATTTCCCTCCACTCAGCACATAGCATAGTGTTCATCACAAGATGCTGATGGGGGTGGGGTGAGATTATAGGATATTTCAAAGGCCCTTTCACCTACGACATGGTCTCAGATCAGGGGACCCCTGCATAATGGTGCATCTGGTGGAGGTGTGGGGGTGGGGAGTGCTGAAGTAGGGGGATGGGCCCAACGATCTCCACCCAAATCTGTGCTCCCATCTTAGGATCAGGCTCTGTCTGACCTCAGGTATTGCCCACTGGCATAGGGGCTAATTGCTCTGGGGTTTTCTCTCTTTAGGAGTGGGAGAAGTGAGACAATGGGTGTGACAGACAGTCAGTGATCATGGAAAACTGAGTCCCATTCTCAACTCTGACACTTGTGAGATTCTTGCCTTGGAGCAGGGGCCATGGAAAGAACATCAGATTGAGGATAGAAAGTATAAAGAAGCCTCTTCCCTCTTCTGGGCCTCAGTGTCCTCCTCTGCAAAATGGGTGGAATAAAGCCCTACCTTCGAATGGTGTTACAAGGCTTACATGGCCGTGGATTGGGAGGCACTTTATAACTGTCGAGTGCACACGGGAGCAAAGCTAATAACTTGCTCTGACACATGTCCGGTTGCTTGTGAATCTTGCTCATGGGAAAAGCAGATCCAGATACTATAAAATTAAGTATTTTCTGGACATTGATCTTTACGAAAAGGATACCATATATTTAATCATTGGTAGGAGGTTGTTACTATTCCCTCCCACATCCCTCAAATTTAATTGCCACGGAGCTATCGATTCTCCCTCAGGGCACTGATAGCAGCCTCCTTGTGCCAGGCCTGAGTGCTGAGGGATGGGGGTGGTGAGGGAAGAGCCTCAGCAGATGTTTCTACCTCTGCCCCATAGTCCTGCCCACATGGTTGCAAGAACTCCTGCCCAAAAGGGTGAGCAGAAAACCACAGGAAACAGTAACTGGTTCTGAGAACATGTCACTTCCTGCTTCTGAAGAACACCCCAGAAGGTGGGAGGCCATAAGTGGCTCCACCTATGGGTGGGGTGGGGCAGAGGGATGGGGGTATGTAGAGAATCCCCCTTTTCAGTTTCCCTGGTACCTTCTGGTCAGAGAAACTCACAGCCCTTTCCAACCCATCCTGGGCCCCAGGAAGATCTGAGTTGGTTCTGAGGAAAGACAGGAGCCAGGTAAGGCCTGGAGGGGCAAGAGAGAGCCCAGAGCTCAGAGAGGCTGCCTGGACTGTGGTAAGCTAGATGTTCACCACTCGTCGTGGAGGCCTGTGAGAGAGGCCGGGCAGGCCCAGAAACAGCTCTTCCCTGCATCTGAACACCAGCTCTCAGAATGTACTGCAGAGACCACCATCTTGTCCCTCTCCCTCGGGGGCAGGGAAGGACAGGGAGTCGACCCAAGTTCACACAACTAACAGTGCCAAGGCTGAGACTAGCTCTAAGCTTTCTGCATTCTAAGTTCACCTGAACCACAAACTCCAGCGTAAAGGAGAAGGGAGAATACCTGGGAGGCCATGAGGCATGGGGTGCAAGGCAGGAAGGATGTGGGTGGTGGGGTGTGAAGGAAAGAGGAATTAAAACCAAGAGAAGAGCAAGCAGGTTGCCCTTTTCCTGATGGCTCCAGAATGCCATTGGCAGTTTAATCAGGAGAGCAGTAGAACTTCCTGGCTGCTGGCAAGCAGGCTGGATTGGAGGGGAGCATGACTAGAAGTAGTTAAAAGTGCTGAGCCACCACTTCCGGAAAGAAGCACTGAGCAGCTTTTAAAATCCACAGCCTCTTTATGATATGCTCCAGTCATCTGCAGAACTTAGAGCTGGTGGGGCAGGAATCAGCAGCTCAGGAGCTCGTGTGTGTGTGTGTGTGTGTGTGTGTGTGTGTGTGTGTGTGTGTGTGTGTGTGTGTAAGTTCTACCCTTTGGGCAAAGTCAAACCAGAGAAATATGGAAGAGGTAAAACAGGAGCGAAATGACTGATTTTCAGAGGATTACTTCCTCTCTGTAGTCAGACACCCAAACTGCAATGCTGCCCAGGGCCAGGCCACTGGTGTGACTCTGTCACTCACCAGTCCCAGAGTTGAAGCCAGGCTGCTGGAAGTTGTAGTTCTTGATTTCACTGTACCATCTATCAGCCACCTCCTTTCCTGTATGGAAAAGACACTTTAAAACTCAGCACTAAAATCAACCCCTACCATCTTCTCCCATTAACCCCAAACTACCCATCCCACAGCTAGACATCTGATAAAATACCAATGAGCTAAAATAGGGACTCGGGCCCATGAGCACACCCAGGCTGAAGAGAGAGCCTCGCTGGGATTTGGGAAGAGCCCTGGCCTAGGGTCACCTGCATCTGTGTCCCCACCCTGCCACTAACTCGCTGTGCAGTCCTAAGCAAGGCCTTCACCTCTCTGGGCCTCTGTACAAGAGGGTTGAATGAAACATACTCCAAGGGCTTCTAATGATGCTCCAAGTTTCCCGGAGACTCTGCCCTCATCCTATCCCAAGTCTTGCTCCTGAAATATCCACAGGAGGAAAGGCAATTGGGCTGGTGGGCCAGGGCCTCCCCTGGAGGCAGAAGGGGAGCATCCTCTGGCCCAGCAGGTGTTGACAGGAGGAAACCCACAGCATTTCCCTGGAGCTGCTGATCTCAGTGCCAGAGCTAGGACCCCTGGACCTAGGGCAATAAGTCTCAAACTTTAATATGTGCACTAATCACCTGGGGCTCTTCTTAAAATGCAGATTCTGATTTCAGTAGGTCTAGGATGGAGCCTATAGTTTGTTTTTCTATCAAGTTCCCAGATGCTGCTGCTGGTTTGTGGACCACAGTTTGAGTAGCAAGGCTTTAGACTGCAGTTGGCTACACGCTGGCCTCACCTGGGGAGCATTTACAAATGACTGATGCCTGAGGCCTGCCACAGACTGCATCGGCATCTCTGGAGGAGTGCCCCAGGCACTGGTATTTTTAAAAAGCATCAGAAAAGATCCTAATGTGCAGCCAGGGTGGGGAACCACTGTCTTAGAGACCACCTACCCACCCCCTCTCTGTAGAGTTGAGGAAACTGGGGCCAGAGAGGGTAGGAACTTGCTCAAGGCTCCACAGGGAGCCAGGGCAAAACCAGGATGGAACCACGTCTTTGACACCTCTTTCCCATCCCTCTCCCTTCTCCCTGGGGCTCACCAAACCCAAAACCAGGCCTGGGATGGCAGCTGTAGGCTTTGGGCTCCTGCCTTCCTCAAGAGCATGCGCACACCTCTTCTGGAGGGCTGCAGAGCTGGGGAAACCAAGAGGACACTTAGGCCTCCCCTGGGAATTCCCAGGAATGTGAGGCCAGGGAGGGAGGAGTCAGTCTCCTGTTGGGGTTTGGAGACCGCTTTAGAGAGGGCGGTAGAGCTCTTCAACATTTTTCCTAAAAAGCCAAGACAGGGCTGTCAGAGCCAGGAAGCTCAAGAATGTCTGGTCAATGTGGATCACCATTCCAGGCTGCCACCTTGGACAAGGAGTTGTCTTTCCTGTTATTATTTTGTTTTCCAACATGGAAAAAACTCTATTGTGATTTTCTGTTGAAAAAAGTTAGTATACCAGCACTGGAAAAAAAAATTTAGAAAAATGTGACAAAAGTGAAATTCTTTTGCTGAGGATGCTTTGGTGCCCGCGGGGTCAGGCTGAGACTCTGCACAGAGCTGGCCTGTTTCCCCAACCCCATTCCTCAGCTGGGAGCTTTTCTGAAAGCGGGGCTGGGTAGTCTGACTCATCTCAGTGTCCCTGGCACCCAGCACAGACCTGGCCCTGAGCCATCAGAGGTCTTGTAGTGAGCTGTAGTTAGCCCCTGGCAGAAGGCAGAGCTCTGGGGTTCCTTTCTCTCTCTGGGCCTGTGGCTGCCCTAGGCCTGCCTCAGGCAGAGGGCAGGGGAGCCAAGAAAGCAACCCACCTGTCTGATCGTAGGATGCCCAAGCTAGGTTCTCTCCGCACTGGCCACGACTGGACTCTGGGCTGTGCTTGAGGATCCTCGTGCTGGCCAGGGCCTCCGAATACCTGCCGGAGACCATGGTGCTTTCTCAGAGTGGGCTCAGCCCAGGGAAGCCCCAAAGTATGAGCCCTAAACTGGTGTGGCAGTGCTTCCTTCCCCAGGCTTGTCGAGGAAATCAGGGGCATCACACCTGTAACTCTGCTGAGTCTCCCATTCACCCCATTTTACAGAGGAGAAAACCAAGGCTCAAAGAACAAAGGGACCTGCCTAGGTGGCAGAGAGGCTATTCAAGCCTGGCTATATCTGCCCCCAAAACCCATGTCCTGCAGCCACCCCAGGGCTCCTCTGGCTGCAGCAGCAGCACCGTGAAGGGCCTGTGTCATCCCAGGGCGCTGGGGGACTCACTGCTGGGCCTCCTGGTTGAGCTTCTTGCAGAGCTTCAGTGGAGGAACGCCATGCTGCTGCCGGTACTCGTTGTGGGCCTTCAGGACCTCACTGTTAAACTGCTTGGAAGCTGCAGTGATTTCAAAATGGAGAATGTCTCAGTGCAGAGAAAACACCCACCAAAAGTATGATGGCAGGCTTCAGAGTGACACCCAGCTCAGACCTCAGGCCACACGGACAAGCTCTCATTCAGTCCCCCAGCCAAATGGGCAACTATGATGCCCTGCTCCACACCTTTGCTCATCCTGTCTCCATCCCTCATATCACCCTCCATGCCCCTGCACATCTGTACCCCATAGATTATGCAGAGTCATATGGGCCATGTTGGAGATTTCGGTCTTTATCCAAAGCAATGGGAATTGACTGAATGGGAGCATGGGAGTAGCCTGGTGAGATTGGTGTTTCTGAAAGATCTTGCTGGCCACTGAGTGGAGGATGGGCCAGGGGTGCAGAGCAGACATTGGGGGGATTGGGCAGTGAGAGAAGGAACTTCTGACAGAAAATGTTAAAATGCTACATATCTCCGACTAGCTCTATGGTACATGGTAGGGACTGGCGGGGGGAGGGGTGGGCACACTGGGTTGGTGAGATCAAGAAGACAGGGGGATGGATGAAGAAAAGAGGTCCAGGGAAGAACAGCATTTGGGGAAGTGGAATGAGGGAATGTGGAAAAAACGTGGTGGTGTTGGAATGAGGGATGATCCACTGGGCCCAGAGTTGCAGTGAGGGATGAGATGGAGCCTGTGCCCAGCTGGGTAAGATCAAAGGGGCTGAGATTAGAGAGAAAATAGGTGGGTGAAGCCAGGGTCAGGCAAAGTTAATAGTGGACAGAAGGCACATCAATTTGGATCTGAAATGGAACCCCAGCCATCCAACATCCTCCATCCACCTCTCCAATATTTATCATCCATTGATTTGCCATCTATCCAATAGCATCATCCATCCAATCCTAATACACCCATCTGCTCTCTGAGCACCACCTCTGTGCCAGGTCCCACATTGTTTGCTAGGTGCCCAGAGACAAATCCGCCACGTCTTGTCCTCAAAGAGTTCACACACAGAAGTAAGACAGCCTGTAAACAGACACCAGCAAACAGTGTGATAGGGCCAACGTGCAGATGAGCACAGGTGCCAGAGGAACTTGAAAAGCAACCTAACATGGTCTGGGGGATCAGGAAGAGGTGACGCCTGACTTGAGGCCCCAAAGATGTCTGGACAGCAGCTAGCCAGGCTTAGACTGTGAAGGCACTGAGCACCAGCCGAAGGAATCTGGGGGTTCCCCTCTGTGGAAATGGGGTGAGTTGGGTGAGCCAGGAGTAAGAGCCATAGAGGACCCTTAAACTGAGCTAGTCCCATCTGGCAGGAGCCTGTCCCTGAGGCCTGGCTGTGGGAGGAAGTTATAAACCAGAGCGTGAAAGAAGCACCATTCTTTCCAATGCCCCGGGTCACATTTCAGCAGGTCCTCCTCTGCTGTCTTTTCACCCCAGAGGCTGACGAGAGAACCCATCAGGGAGTCCACCTCCTGTCCCTAGCCAGATTCCCCATGTCCCCTGGGCCTTCAAATCAAATCCCACAGGGCCTCTGGGGGGACATGAGGGGCAGAAGACCAGAACTTGCCCTCAGGAGGTTTGGGCTAGCTGCCGATCCAGGGGAGATGGAGGTAACTGCAGGTCATGCCGGTGGTGGTGGAGCTGTCCTACGGGTTTCTGATAAATTGAAGAGTCAATGGTATTGACCTTGAGGACCGTGGGGCTCAACAGGGTAGTTCAGTGAGGTCCGGTCACAGTAATGTGGGTGGGACAGGAATGTGGCAGTGGAGGGTGGGGGGGAGGTGAGGGGAAGGGGGAGAAAGGCTGAATGTCAGGATTTGAGAGGTTTTGGTTGACAGGCAGAGATGGGGAGGCCCATACTAATGTTCCTTCCAGCTCCCATGTCCCAAGCAAGCCATGGCAGGACACCATAGGAGGTGCATGGGACTGAGTGGTATGGGTAATGGTGACCATCGATATTTCAGGGAAGGCTCCCTGCAGGAGGTAGTGAGGAGGCAAAGGGCACAAAAAGGGCCAGGGTAGATAGAATCTGGTGTATCCCAGGGCTGTGGAAAGAAGGTAGAGAGAAGGGGAGTGGGCTGGTAGCTCAGGTGAAGCCAGCGTAAAGCTGCCCTGAACGCCAGGGCCAGGCTGCGCTGGGCCTGTAGTACTGTAGGCCCTGCCATCTCTTTGGCAGAGGAGGACATTTAAGGCTGCTAAAAAACTAGGTCACCACGGTCCCCAAATATGGGAAGTAAAGAGAAACAAAAGTGAAAGTTCCTGTGCTCAACATAAGCTTGGTGCCTGGAAACTGAAGCTAGTCATTGTCCCCAATAAGGTCAGAGGCCAGGGCAGGAATTGTGGACAGGCCCCTTCTGACCCCTTGGCAAGAGGCTGGTGTTTAAAAAAAAGAAACAACAGGCCAAAATGGAGTCACTTTTGCTAAGCCACCTCACAAAACCAGGAAGGGATCAGGAGAACTTCTGGTAATCAGGAGGGGTGCTCTCTCTCCCCACCCCTGCTGGGAGGGATGGCGGCCCCACCACTACACCTCTGGCTGGCCCCAGGAGTCCCCTCCCACCAATGCAGCCAGTGGCTGCCCAGGTGGCTCCTCTGAGCAGGGCCTCACCCTTAGGGTGGTAAGATATCACTGGTGGCCACACCCAGCAAGAGGCACACCCAACTTCTGTAGACAAACCCAAGAACAAAGATAAACAGAAGTGGAAAGAAAGTCCAAGAAAACTCACTCATCCCGGCATTAGGCAGGGATGTGAGAGAGCCCTCACAGCTGCCTCCCAATGGGGAGGGGAGGGATTATGTCCGCATCTGAAGAGACACTGAGGCTCAGGGTACCAGCCTGGAATGAAGGAGGTCCTTCCTTCTACACGTTGGCCGACCAATGCTGGGTGCCAGGCCTGTGCATGATCTCATTTACTTCTCATCACCTTTTGTGGGAGCTTCTATTACTGTATCCATTTTTTTTTTTTTTTTTACATGAGGAAACTGAAGCTCAGGAAGAGAAGTAACCTGCCCACATTCCCACAACTGGTCCAGGGGTAAGCCCACGAGGTAAGAAAACACTGCCCTTAATCCCACAGCACCCCCAAGAAGCATGAGACAAAGAAATCACAGAGCAGAGACAGAAGGGTTGACCAGACTTCGGAGGAAGGTCAGGCTCAGTGAGCCTGGCGGCTGCCTTCAAATCTCTAAGGGGAGAGAAGAGGAAGGAAGAGGAAAAAAGAACTAAGATTTCTCAAGAGCCTCCTGTGCCAAGCTTCTTATGGACAGACGGGCCTGAGGGGCCCCAGAGGAAAATCAGGGGCCACAGGAGTAGAAGCTCCAGCAGGCAAGTTTGGGGCTTAAGGTCAGAGCTGCTGAAAGGGAGAAGGAGCTGTCCGGTCATGGCTCCTTGAGGCTGAGAGCCCCCAGTTCAGCTCCACCTTAGACACCCAGCCTGGCAGGGCTGGGCTATCTCTGCTAGGTAGAGGGTGCAGCTGGGCATCTTAGGTGGAGCTGAACTGGGGGCTCTTGAAGGTCCTTTGGGCTTGGGCTGCTAAATGCCAAATAAAGACCCTAAGGAGGTCTGTCCCTCCCTCCCACATGGCTGTTGGCTAGGACAGACTCCTCCCTACACATCTGTTCTCTTCTGAAGCCTCCCAGAGCCCAGCCTGACTCATTTCCACTCTGCCCAGCAAAGAGGGCCAGGACTGTCAGAGGCCAGGGCAGGAATTGTGGACAGGCCCCTTCTGACCCCTTGGCAAGAGGCTGGTGTTTAAAAAAAAGAAACAACAGGCCAAAATGGAGTCGCTTTTGCTAAGCCACCTCACAAAACCAAAACTTAATAACTAAAGTTTAAATAACAGGCCAAAATGGAGTCACTTTTGCTAAGCCACCTCACAAAACCAAAACTTAATAACTAACTTAATTAATTGTAGTTTCAGCCTCTCAGAATGGAATTTTAAACCAGTTTGGAATTTCTTGATGCTAGTGAGGTAAACTGATAAGACCCACTAAGGGAAGGTGACCCTGCCTAAAATAATCTACTCATTTCACTTCCTTAGTCCTACCCCCTTTTTGCCTATAAAAACCTTCCATTTTGTACAACTCATCGGAGGACCCTTCCAGTTGCTAGAAGCAACGATTTCCATGAATTGCTTACTAACGCAGGCAAGTTTTAGACCTCCATATTTACTCAGTTGAATATTGTTCGTTAACACTGGAAAGTGACCTGGTCCCACCCTTGAGGTAAAACTGGTTTTGCTAGTTTATCAGGAATAAAGAATAAAAAGCTGAGAAAAAAAAAAAAAGCAAGAGTTTCAGATGGGCAGCTTCGGTTCTTCCAGCCAGGGCTCTAGGAAATTCACAGGGGAATACCAGCTCTGCCTTTTGCTAGCTGTGTGATCTCGAACCAGTTGCTTAATCACTCTTTGCCTCATTTCCCCCACATAAAAAACGGGGATAACAGTATCTATCTCACAGGGTTGTTGTGAGAATTAAATGAACTAAACTATGCCAATGCTTTAGAACAGTTCTTGAACACATTGAATAATTATTAAATGTCATCTATAATTATACCATTAGTATTGGGCCAAGACCCTTTAGCTCCTGGCCTTGGGAGAAACTCTCCTCCCTGATTTTCTTAGCAGGAGGTCTGCTGGTATTTAAATCAGTCTTTCACAACCTCTATCAGGACCTCTGAGCACAGATATTTGCTGAGTGGATGAGTGAGTGAGAAAGCAAATGAATGAGATCCTCACAGCAGCACTGGGAAGACACTAGAATGAGATTTTCTCATTACAGATAAGGAAACCGTGATCTTTGGAAGGACGTGTAAATTGCAGAATTTCATACAGTGAGTCCACTTTTGAGCCAGATCTAAGAACAGCCTTCCTTTCACCCCCTCCCTTGCCCCTTTACATACATCTTTACATACTTTCCGCTTTACATACATCTTCCTCTCCCTAAGCAACAGTGATGGTCAATTAAGAGTTGCTAGATTGCTTATAAAAACAAGGGTGACCCGGAGCACCCACCCCAGGCTGCCCCTTTGCAGATACACAACAGTCATTGAGGGACTGAAGAAGCCAGGGCAGCCAGCATCTATTCTTCAGCCCTGCTTGTGGCCACTTAGACCCGACTTGAGTACCGGGCAAGTCCCCGCTCCTCTGGGCCCCGGATTCTCATCTGTGTGAGAAGGAATGACGACATCTGTGGTTTTCAAAATACCTTCAAAGCAGAGAAACCTTTACTTTGAACTTTTTTTTTTTTTTTTTAAATAAAGTCAGCATATGAAAATGGAACTGCTAGGAGTGACCCAGCCCACACAGCCTCACCCTGCAGAGGTGTCAGGGCCTTGCTCAGTAGAAAATTCCTGGGTTAGTTGGTCTGAAAAGCCTTTCTACTCTGATAGCCTCTGATGCTGGGAGATGTGGGTGCAGGGGACACTAAGATTCTTAGAGATAATTAGAGGGTGTGTAGAAGTCCCTACTGAGCCAGATTCCAGGCTGAGAAGCAGGCAGGAAACAGGTGGGAAGTGGTCAGTGTGGTTGAGAGGAAAACCCACAGTTGGAAAGTCAGAGAGCCTGCTTCAAATCCCACTTTGTTCACTTACTGGTCAAGGTACTTAACCTCTACAAATCTATACAATTGATAATAACTGCTTTGCAGGGCTGTTAAAAAGTCGCTAACATATATAAAATACCTAGCTCTAAGCCTGTACTAAGAGCTTAATAATTGGCAATCACTATTATTAGGGATCAGAGGTTTACACTGAACCCAAAGCCATTGTCTTTCTCTGTCTCCATCACACTTGCTATAAACTGAAGCCCAACAGAGACCAAAGCTGGGAAATGGACCTGGCGGTCTCTGAACACTGGGCCAAGTGTCTCCTGGAATTGAAGCTGTGTCAGTTGCATGATAGTTTTTCAACATGTCTACTACCCCAAGCCACTCTGGGGTATATCTGAGGTTAAAGATTAAGAAGAGATTGGCTCCTATGCAGTGATGAGGAAACTAAGGCCCAGAAGAGGCAGAGACTGGATCCTTATGACAGTCTTGATGGAACCACATAAAGCCCCTGTGTGGCTACACATCTGTGAGTGCTCCAAGCCCTGCAATACAGAACTTAGGCTTATGGCCTGGAGCTTCAAGGTTATGCCTGTGCTGATGGCCATTGGGTCTGGGTCACCCAGAAAAGTCACTTTCTCTTAGAGACTCTTAGGGGAGCCAGACATTGTCCTGGGGGTCCACAATGTTTGGGGGAGACAAATAGAATGCATATGGCTATGGGGGAGATAGGCCTGGGCCAGCATTCTGGAAGGTCCCTGGGTGGGGGGTGGCACCTGCCTGAACCCGCTCTAACCCATTTTCTGCCACTGTCCCCCTCTTCTAAAACCTGCTTGACTCTGCATCTCTAGTCCTAGAAGGCGTCACCACCATTCTGCACCCAGATATACCTCTGACACTTACCTCTCATTCACAATGTTAGTCACCAAATCTGCTTGAGGGTACCATCTCCAAAATCCACCCCCTCCTCCTGTCCAGTCCCTTAGATGTCTCTGTTATCTCTTGTCTGAATAACTGTAGCTACCTCCTCCTGACCATCCACCTCCACCTTCTCCCCATCTGATCTACCTTCTACCCTGGCACAGCTCTGGTTTTGCATTCAGATCAATGCCTTTCAATGGCACCCCAGGTCTCAGGGATAAAGTCCAAATCCTCAAGACTATCTGAGATTTGACCACCCCCTCCAGGGGCTTTCAATGGGCCCCTCTGCAAAGGAGATCTCTCCCTCCCTTGAGCTCCCCACTGCTCTTCACCTGCACTTGTCTTGTGGCCTGAGCCACTTCCCACATGAACCACATGGTACCTGTCTACCCACCCCCCTACCGATCAGCTTTATGATTCATTTCACAATCTAAATGAACACTTTTCAGGACAAGGGCCAAGTCCTCCATAGCACTGGGCCCACAACTGGGTACAGAGCTGATAGGTGGTGGAATGGAGGGAAGAGAGGGAGGGAGAGAAGAAAGGAAGAAGGAAGAGAGAGATGGATGGGTAGATAGATGAACAGGCAGAAGAATCGGCACACAGCTGGATATTAGCAGTTCAGGAAAACTGTTTCTTAGGGAATAAGCCAGAAACAACTGATTAAAATGCAGCTTCAGAGATTTTTTCTTAATCTACAGAGAAAGGAGTCGATTTTTCAAAATGCTCTCTCATGTCTGTCATGTTCTTGCCCAATCACCATATACCATCCTGTTTTTTAACCTCATGACAACTCCTTATGTCACCTTTCCATACTGTGAAGGACCCTGGGAATCATATGGGCCATCCTCATTGTACAGATGGGGAAAATGAGGCACAGAGAGGGAAAATGCTCAAGATCACACAGCAAGTGATTAACAGAGCCAGGGTTGAAAGCCAGACCTGTTACTACAGGTAAGGCAGGTTAAAAGCAATGCGAGGGAAAGACACTTACTCTCCGCACTGGTACCTCATGAGTCTAGATCTTGAGAACAGATTCAAGAAGGGACCCGGCCTCACCCACCTGAGGCTAACAACCTTGCCTTCTCATGAAACAAGACTTCTGAACTCTGTTCAACAGCTATTCATTAAGAGCCTCTTGTGAGGCAGGAACTATGCGGAGTGAGGTGGCCCTGGCCACCAGGAGTGAGGTGTCTGGGAAACAGATCTATGGCTGGGTAGAGACCCAACTGACTGCGGGGAGGGCTACAACAAGGAAGACACTGGGTGAAGGTGTCCCTGGGGGCAGGCATGGGGCGAATCAGGGACCGGCTCCTAGGAGTTGAGCCTAGAAGGGTGGGAGGATTTTCAACCTCAGATAAGTGGGAGAGGCAGAGTGGTGGTGGTGGTGGGTGTTGGGAAAGGGAACCCAGGGGAAGGGATCGGCGTGCCAGTTTCAGGATAGGTGAGTGTAGGGGGAGTTAAGGAGTGATGACCAACTCCCAGAGGACCTCAAGGTGGGGCTGAAGAATGTGTACTCTTTCACCTGCAGACAATGGAACGAAAGGTGCTAGGGAGTGACAGGATTAGATCTGCATTTTAGATAGTTCACCTGAGACAGCCACAGTTGTGAGGATGGGCAGCAACAGGTAAGAGGTAAAAGGAGAAGCGGAGACAGCCTGGCACAGAGGGGCGCTCAGGGGAGGCGGGGCAACGACAGAAGGATGCTTGAGTTGTCCTTAGGAGGGTTGGTTGGAGTATGCTGCGAGAGATGCTGAGTTTGGTGGCTATTTCCAACTCCTAATTCTGTCCTCCAGAAACAGTGCAAAAGCCACGCCTTGGCCGGACGCCGAGCGCTAATCCCATCAGCGCCTGGAAGCCCTCCTGATGCAATCTCTGGCTAACAGACAGGGGGACCCTCCCTCGGTTTCGCCTTCCCTTTCTCTCTCCTGGTGGCCGGGCAGCCACCCCAGCTTCCTGGCCGCCCCGGAAACTGCCCGCGCCGGGTCTCCTGGCGCTGCGCCCCACGCGCGTCTCCATCCTGCGCTCTGGGTTCTGCAGCGCAGCCGCAGCCTTGTCCCGGCGCTGAGGCAGGCGTCCCCTTCCCCAAGGATCCAGCCCGCAGCGAGGGAGGGTGACGGAGAGCATCGCGGGGCGCGGGGCTCCCAAGCTATCTCCGGACTCCAGGTCGGCCGGCCGGGTGGACTCACCTGACTTGCCCATGACCGGCTCTGCACGCTACTCGGCTCCTGCTGCCGCCGCGCTGCGCTCTCTGACCCGCCCGGCACCGCTAGGATAGCCTGGTAGGAGGCCCGGCGGACGCAGCCCCTCCCCCGGCCCGGCCCGGCCCCCGCCTTATAAGGCAGCAGCAGCGGCTGGCGGAGGCGCCCGAGGCCACCCTGCGGGCTGCCCCGAGGAGGCGCCACGCGCCCCGCGCTCCGCGAGCCTCCCCACCCGGCTCCGGAGAACTTGCCCTGTGTAGGAACCCCGGCAATTGACCCGGGCTCGCCAGGTGCGGATCGGAAGCCCGGGGCCTGCCGGATCTCAGCCCCGAGCAGTGTCCTTTCCCGGCGCGGAATCTCACGCCTCTCAGTAGCTTCCCGCTAGCCACTCAGCGGTGCTCCCTATCTCGCGCTAGGGATGGTTCCGGCCCCCATCACCAGAGGTCGGCGCTCTCCACGCCTTGGCCAAGTGTGCCGCCTTCTCCTCCCCATTGACACCGTACTCCGAAGGGCATGTCCCTTCCCTCCCCAGGACACACCTTCTGGTGTGAGTCTGGGTTGGAGTTGGAGTGCTGGTTCATCACTTCCCATTGAAGTGCTACCCATCCCTCAGGGCCTGTGGATCCCTTCAACTACGAGTCAACTACGAGAGGTCCTGGCCTTTCCTGATCAGTACACATCTGGCACTAAGGAGACTTGGTCTCAGTCATGGCTGTGTCTGAGAAGAGTGAAAACATGAAGGCATAGCCTGGGTCCCCTGTGTAGCTCCCCAGAGTAACTCCTTATTGGAGAAGGGGCTCAGTGAATTCTAATCAAAGGAAGATAATTTTAAGCCCTTTCAATAAATGGGCACTGAAGTGAACTGACTTGCTGATCATAGGGCAACGGTAAGGCTGGGTACTGCCCTGTCTACTCCCTCCCACTGTATCAGGCAAAACACTTTCTAGATTTTAGTACTTTCAGTGTTAGATTGTTAGAAAGAGTGGCCCATTCTGAATCAAAAGAGACTTCTGGTGCTAGTTGCGAATCTAATCCCTTATTTTAGTTCCCTCTCCCATTTTGACAACAATCCTCATTGAAATGACCAAATGATCCTAGTAGGAAGAATTCTATATCAACTCTAGAATCTCCAGTAGGCTGTTTCCATCTTAAACAAAACTTCAAGGTCATAGGCAGAGACAGCTGAGCACAGTAGAGCCACTCACTGACTGAACGCAGAGGGAAGCCCATCTGGGGGCCATGAAGTTTCACTCACATCTCCTTCACAGAAGTGAAGTTTGAGGTGAGAGAGGGCCCCAGAGTTGGTGGGGAACAAAAATCTGAACTTAGTGGCATCTTTGGAGTCTGTGGGCCTTAGAGCTGACCTTAGCCTCAGGCATGTGGAAGGGAAAATGTTATGAATGGAGTTAGGTAGTGTCAAAGTTATTGCCTAGCAAGGGCCATGGGCTGATTGGAGTGGGAGTCACTGCCCAGCTGGTCCTAGCTGGTGCCCAGGCAGTAGACCAAGACACGAGAAATGATAACAAAAGTCAGACACAGGAGTGTTTGACCCAGACTATCATTTCTTTTTTGTATTATGTCCTATTTAAGAACTCCTTACCTATTCCGAGATCATGAAAAGTTTCTATGTTTTCTTCTAGGAGTTTTACAGTTTTAGCTTTTACATTTAGTTTTAGCTCTTACATTCATTTCGAGTATGGTGTGTGGTAGTAAGTCAGGGTTGTAATTCTCTCTCTTTTCTTATTTGGCATATAACTTTCCTATTGCTCCAGTATCATTTCTTGAAAAGATTATTCTTTCTCAATTGGCCCAGTATATGTGGGCTCTCTATTCCAATCCTTTGATCTATACACATATAGATCACTATACACTAATTATAGTATCACCCTAATATTATGCTGTCTGGATTACTGCAGCTTTATATACACCTTGAAATCAGATAGTATAAACCCTCCTATTCTATTTTTCTTTTCAAAATTGTTTTACCCATTTAAGGTCCTTTGTATTTCCATGTAAATTTTAGAATCAGCTTGTCAATTACTGTAAACAAACAAACAAACAAAAAGCCTGCTGGAATTTTGACTGGGATTGCCTTGAATTTATAGATAAATTTGGGGAGAACTGATCTCTTAACAACTCTGAGTTTGCTGATACATCAGCATGGTGTATCTTTCTGTTTATTTATATCTTCTTTAATCTCTCTCACTATGTTTTCGGGGATGTTGCTCTTTATTTAGTTTTCTATTCTTATAATGTCTTTTTCAGATTTAAGAATCAGGGTAATACTGGCCTTATAAAAGAAGTTGGAGAGGGTTCTCTCTTCTATTTTCTAGAAGGGTTTGTATAAAATTAGTATCATTCCTTTCTTAAATATTTACTATTAATTGTCAATGAAGTCAACTAGGCATGGAGGTATTTTTATTTTTTATTTTTTGGGAGATAGAAGGTTTAAAATGATAAGTTCAGCTTTATTAATAGATATAGAACCATTTAGATTATCTATTTCTTCTTGAGTAAGTTTTGGTAACTTGTATCTTATAAGGGATGTGTCCATTTCATTCATCTAAGTAGTAGAATTTGTAGGCATAAAGTTGTTGATAATATTTTGTTATCCTCTTACTGTCTATATCATGTGTGCTGGTATCTCTTTATCATTTCTAATATTGGTAATTTGCATCCTCTAGAGGTTTATTAATACAGTCGATCCTCATTATTTGTGGATTCTGTATTTATGAATCCACCTACTTGGTAAGATTTATTTGTAAATCGAAAATCAATACTTGTGATGCTTTCATGGTCATTCGAGGACATGTGCAGAACAGGGAAAATCTGAGTTGCCCAACACACAAGTGCCCAGGTGAGGTTGAACAAGAAGATGCTCTTGTTTCAGCTCTCATACTGTAAGCAAATGTCCTCTCCATGGTCTATTTAGTGCCATGCTTTTTTGCATTTTTGTTGGTGGTGGTGGTGGTGATGATATTTTACTTTTCAAAATAGCCCCCAAGTGAAGTGCTGTTTAGTGTTCCTAAGTGCAAGAAGCCTGTGGTGTGGAGAAAATGTATGTGTTAGACAAGTTTCGTTTAGGCATGAGTTAATAGTGCTATTGGCCATGAATCCAATGTTCATGAATCAAAAATACAAATGAAGTCAAAATCAAAACAGACACTCAGAGATAAATGACAATTAGAATACTCAGTTAAGAGCATAGGGCATTGACTTGAAGTCACGTGGCTCAAGTCCAAGTTCTGGCTCTGCTGCCCACTAACTGTGATTATGATCTAGGTGCTTGAAATGAAGATAGTAATACTTTATCTTAGAGGATTTTTTTAAAAAATGAAATAAAATGACACTTTAAAAAGCACATTAAATGTCGCTTATTTTTGTGTTATATTTTACGGTTACAATTTATATATGTAAAAAGATACCTTTTTTTCTCTTTTCAAGGCAAAATTCTGCTGATGATGGAAAATTTAAACTGGCATGTCAAAGAAAACTAGGTCACATCTACTTTAATCTCTTGGGGATAAATATTCAAGCATTCTAGAATCTTTCCTGGCTCCTCTCCACACCTCTGGGTCAACTCCTCCAGATTCAGATTCTTGGGCAGGAGCATCTGTTTGGCTGAGCCTGGGTCACGTATCTCCACACAGCTTTTAGAAAGCATCCATAATTAGTTACAAGATCTTTTACACTCAAATAGAGACTTCTCTACATGCCGAGCAGCCAAAACACAGCAAAAGTCTGCCATATCTTCATTTTCAGAAGAGGGAATTTTGTTTCTGTCCTACATCTGTTTCCCTGGAATGTTCCACACTCCATGACTCAGCCTTTCTCAGTGTCTAAGCTCTTCCATCATTAAGAATTCTTCCCCAAAGTGTGGTTTAAGGTACAAATTGTGCTTTAAGCCTTTCAGGCTTTGGTTCTTGATCTGCAGAGGGTTTTTTTAGTGGGGGGGCAGAATAAACCCTGGGGCAGAATAAAAAATTCGTTGTAGTAGCTCAATGAGTGGAAGGCCATGGCAACTAGAAAAGCAGTGGAATAGAAAAATCTTACCAGAAATCTCCTTATTTTTTCAGATTGTTCTCTCTTTATTATTGTTGTTGTAAAATATATGAGATGAAGCCAAAGCTGTTCTTAGAGGCAAATATACTGTATAATAAGTATGAACATAAACTTTAGGTTAGACCCGGGTCCAAACTATCCCTGTTCTGCTACTTACCAGCCATGCGACGTTGAAGAAATTATTTAATCTCCTCACTCTTTAGTTGCATCAATTTACACAATGTTAATAATACTATTTGCCTCATATGGAGGTTGAGAATTATATGAGATAATTCATTTAAAGCACTTGATTCTATGCTTATATGAAAGGAATCCTTGGACAACCTTGAGAAAGTAGTCCAGGAACCTTCTTCATCATTCTTGGTCATTTGTGACATAACAATTCTTCCAGTGGGAACTGTCAGTAGAAGAACATGATACATAAGGCTCAGGCTGTCCTAGTGCAATGAGATAAAAGATGTAAGATATAACTGACTATGGAGTGTTCACTAGATTTCACATTTTGCTGACCTGTAGTATATTACTCCTGTGTAGAGACCAAATTCATCTCTCAAAACTCCAAATAAGAAAGAAAAGCTATAGTTAGATGACATCACTGTCAATCCTGGATAAGCAAGAGTCAGGAAGAGGACTTGTCACTAGGTCATGTCCATGGGGCTAAACTATTGATCAACCTCTTATTGTCCCTCCTTTGGTATTTATAGTCAGACTTATCTGACTCTCTGCCCAGAGCTTAGAAACCAGTAAGGAGAGAAGTTTCACTATAAAAAGGCTGAAAAAAAGAATGTGCAGAGTAATTTATTATTACGTAAGATTTCCTTGATTTGAAAATAGAGTACTTTAATGAAAATCTATTTTTACTATAGACAGTTTGTGTCCCTCTAAAGTTCCAACGTTGAAGTCTAATCCCCAGTGTGATGGTATTTGGATGTAGGGCCTTTGGGAGGTGATTAAATCATAAAGGTGGAGCCCTCATGAATAGGGTTAGTGCTTCTAGAAAAGAGGCCCAGAGAGCTCCCTGGACTCTTCCGCCAGGTGAGGATACAACCAGAAGGT